CAATACTCCTAATACTAATTCGTATGTAATACTTTCTTCAGTCAATGCCAGGATCATATCTAACTCTCTGTTTACACCCAATCTTTACCGATTTTAGCCACATTAATATACAGTTTCGAGCAATGTTGCTTAACTTTTGATCAATCGCTTTTACAGTTTTGGGAGGTCTTAGAAGCGTCTTATATACATTAAACAATCTATCTGTGTCCCATATCATTATGCTATATTACTTCATCGACGATGGCATACTAAATTTATGTTATTTTCTCTAGCATTTGGAGATCTTCTTTTGGATCATTTTCCCTTCCTAAAATCTAGTACACCGATCCGCGTAAGGATGAAGAGCAACAAGCTTGGCTACTACCCTCTTCACTTCAAAATGAGATCCCCTATTTCGTGCGTGACAAGCCCAATTCCATGTCAAGCGTCAAGGTGGACGAACTTCGCCAGGAGTTGCACCAGGGCAATCTGACTTGTGTGATACGCAATGAGGTTGGCACAGACAGCAGGTCAATACAGGTCACTTTCATTCGTAAGTTGAAGTCCTTATCCTTTTTTTAAAGGTTTTTTCACTCACTTTATGCCCTATTTTTTAATTATATTTCTTTTTATCGATAATTTAGATTGTCTACATTTTTCCTATTTGGATAAATGGCGTTATAGTTCTGTATTAGTATGTAGTTTTAAAATACGTGGGATATTGCTTAATAATTGAAATCGCCTCAGCTGAGGCCAATTCACAATGTCAAATGTTATTGGGTTCCAAGATAAGTTATAGGTAACCACCCTATTTTACACGAATTTGTCACATTTTCGCTTGATTATTAGACCTCAGATGCGATGAATGATTTAATTTCGATGAATCTCTTCAGATCTCATTACTGAAGAGACTTTCATTTCGTATGAATGCGCATAATGAAGAGATTCGTTGGTTGAACCCATCGGAAGACGACAGCCGATTCCCGTTGTTCTGCAGTCGTTTGGCTCTAATACGACGTTTACGTTGACGCAGTCCACGAAACATCCTCCCTCGTTTCGGGTGAAAACGGGCTGAGATTTCGTCCATCATATGATGGACATCATCAGAGCTGATAATCTCAACCTTGTCCTAGGTCAATAAGACAGTCAAGTTAAATATCATGTTTAGTTTGATAGAGAAATAGGCATCCCGTTCTATATCTATCTATCTGTGTCTATATATTTTCGTTTTATCTATGAGTATATATATATATCAGTTAGAAAAAGCAGATAATTCTTCTTCACTTAGTATTTACTTGTAAGTTTTGCAAGGATGAGTTCAAGCTCTGATGATGCCCTTCATATTGTGGAACAAAGTTTGTCCCGTTTTCAACTGAAACGAGGGAGGATGCCTCGTGGACTGTGTCAGCATGAACTTCGTATTAAAGCCAAATGGCTGCAGAATAACGGGAATCGGCTGTCGTCTTCCGGTGGGATCAGCCAATGAATCTCTTCATTATGCACATTCATGCGAAATGAAAGTATCCCCAATATTATCAATCCCTAACCATATTGGCGAAATGGAAATAGGAATATGGACAAAGTGCATTTAAATTTATTATCTTATTATGCTTAGTTATAAATATTAGTTAAGGTGAAATGCAATCAGGGAAGTTTACTTTATCTGCAGATTTTATAATTATCCTGCTGAAGATTACTTATCTCATTTTAGGCCAATGGAATGTCCGATGCTATATCCGATGTGTTTGTTGAGTTTGAGAATTTTTCTTTTGACTCCATCATGTTGTTCTTGTTCTTTGTCTCTCGACCCTTCCAAACGTCTATTTTAAGCCTTGCCTCTCGTCCTTTTAATTGAAACTTTGGGTCTTTTTTGTCCTATAAATTTATTATATCCAGTACTTTCTAAAGCATTCCTATATAGCATATTCCCTCTTACACATGCAAACATTCTTAAATTTATATCTATTAACATTTAATACCATTCCCAGCCGACCTCGAGTTCAACCTTCGTCCGCCCAACAAGCTTACAGTGATCCTTGGCTCCAGCATCAGCATTAATTGCTCTTCGAAGGCCTCAGATCTTCAGCCGGTTGTCAGATGGCAATACAATGGTAAAAATAGTGTGCTTGCCATTCTTAAGCGCCCATAAATCTTAATACTACAGACTTGATATATTACACACTTACGAACCTTGGTGGTTCAATTAATGCGATAATGGCTCCATTTTCAATGCCAATGGCGGTTTATTTATATGCTAGCTTGGAAGTTTACTCCGACATGTGACATCCAAAGAGACAGAACGAGAACGACAGCAAATATTAGATATAGCACAGGTGGTGATTTTTTGCTCTGGTTGTATATACTTTTATGGCGGAAAGGTTTTGATCTACACGATACTTAAGTCTCCTTTAAGTAGAAATATGGCATAAAAATTTAATTATGGAATTGGATCTCTTTCTTTCGGGTCGCTTCGAGCCAAATTTTTATCCAATTATTTCTTCCACAGCATATGGCGCAGTAGTAATGTAAATATTTTTTGGGCTATTACTGGGCCATAGCGTAATTTTGAGACGCACAACTACCGTCTACAGAAGCTAAGGTTTCCATGGGTTTTTCGACTTAAGATGAATGCAATACGCATAATTTGGAGGATTTCACCAAAATCCGGTATGGGCTACGCTCCCTTAAAACTCGATACTGTTAAGAATATTGGAGGAAACAGCTGGGCTTGGTACATTCAAGAGATAATCATG